AGATAGAACTAATAGTTATAGAATAGACTACTATAAGTCTACTTTAATACTATATAAGATAACTACCTATATAGAGTATAAGTATTAGTAGAAGTAGCTAGAAATTTAGTTTTAGATAATTATAAATAGGTAATCTAATATTATTTAGTTTCCTAAATCTAATAAAAGTAATAGTTTTTTATAGAATATCTAGCTATATATAGCCTTAGCTCCTTCTTATATAAGTAGTAATAAATTATAAAAATAACCCTTAATTAAATTCATCCTACTTAATATAATAAAGTAGTAGGTTTATTTATTTCTTCTACTTAATATAAGAGCTTATCTTCTAATCTATTAATAATAATATAATAGGGAATATTAAATAAAATTAGCCTATTATCTATATATATAATAATATTTCCTACTACTATTAAAATATCTTTTAGCTTTCTAGATACTTAATTAATTATCTAATTAGTAAAATAAAGCTCTATCTATATTTTCTTATCTAGGTTATCTAGCTTAATAAGCTCTATAAGCTTAAAATCCTCTTAGTATAACTTTTAGTAGTACTAAACCTTATATATATTTAATAGTAGGTAGAGAAGGGCAGATAGATTATTATACTTATTTTACTCCTTATATATTTTATAGAGTGCTAGAGATAATTATATCTAGGGTATAGGCTATATACTTCTACTATTAGTTACCTATTTATTATACTTAATCTAGAGAAGTATTTTTAATAAAGCAATCTATAAATCTTTTCTAGTATACTAAATAATATAATTAGGGGGAAAATTACCTCCTTATATATAAGAGATAAGTAGCTTATTTATACCTAAGGTTTATAGTATCTAATAATAGCCTAATAAGGTAATATATATATAAGCACTATAAATATCCTTATTTTAGTTCTTAGTAACTATAAATAGATATAAGACCCCTCTTATATAATTAGTATAGAATTAATATAATATATACTTATAATATTACCCTTTACTTTAGATATTAAATTTAGTAATACTCCTATTTTTAAATTTTAATTAACTATACTAAGGGAAAAAATAAATAATAAAAGAAGGTACTCCCTAGAGATTAGTTAGTACTTAAATAAAGTTAAAATATACTATACCTACCTATATACTAAACCCTAGTATAAATTTAACCTAGCTTAATAACTAGCTATTACTTTTAGGTATTAAAGTATTAAGCTTAGTATAAAGCACTAGCACTAGTAAAATTCAGAGTATTATATTAATAAAATTTAATATTAAGTTTATACTCACTATTATTATATATACTATATTCACTAGTTCCTTAAAGTAGTATTATATTAGGGAAAGATACTATAAGCCTATATTATAGATAATATAGAGAAACTACTTACACTAAAGGCTAAATAGTAAGTTAAGATCTAGAGGTTATATAAACTTATAGTTTAGCTTCATAGCTTTAGTCTTATTAGATTAGGTAGTTTATACTTTTATTTAACTTAATTATATTAAGATTAAGGCTTAAAAATATATAAAGACTTATCTTTTAATAGTGGGCTTTTTTTAAAAAGTAAATATAACTAAAAAGAAAAAGTATATGTGTTTTCAAACTATAAGATCTAACTACTTTTATATAGCTATCCCTAGTAACATAGGTAGGCTCTAACTTAGCATCTTAAGGCCTAGGGAAAGGCTTATAGTTCTACTAAATTATATACCACGGAAAGTATAACCTACTTAAAAGTGAAGGATAGATAGAAAACCTAGTAAACCTTAGCTTAAAATAGATATAGATAAAGAACTACTCTTATAAAGTCTAAAACTAAATAAAGGGATAATTAGTATATTTAATAAACTTACTTAGGATTTAGGCTTTTAGTAGGTGTTAAAAGCTATAATATATTTAATTATATTAAAGACCTTCTTCACATAAAAATAATAAAACCTTAGTAATATACTTTAGTCTAGATAATAATTAGGAATTAATAGCGATCTTTAAAGTACTAGGTTAAATAGTTAAGAATACTTATAAATAGGAGCAGATTATATTTTCTATAATAAATAAGAAAATAAATATTAGATTAAGTCATTATATAGTTTTAGCTTATAGGTACCTTATATTACAAAATATTATAGTTTTATAAGTAATTTATTAAGATAGGGATACTTTATTTATATATATTATCTCCTCTTTATATATTAAGATTTACTACCTAGAATAATACTTAATAAAAGGTCTAGGTTCTTAAGGACTATACCTTTAAATAGCATAATAAGAGGTAATGTTTTTCACGGCCTAGTTAGAAATACATACTTTTCCCTCTATTTAATTAGGGCCTTAACTTATAACTAATAAGAGATTTAACTAACTACTTACGTTACCTCTACTTATTAACGCTGGTTATAGCCTTAAGAGGCGCTACGACTAACGTTTCAAATGCTTCCTTCATAAGAATTCCCCCTCTTCTTAAGCCAGTCAATCGCTCAAGATAATAAAAGTCTTCGTACAATGAATCACAATACGGGTGACGAAGCTGTCAAATAACGCGATAACCGCTGTGTGCCATATACCCTTTATTGGTGTTATTATTATTGTTGTTATTATTGTTGTTATTGTTATTGTTGTTGTTATTGTTATTATTATGTATGTGTACAGCTTCCTCTCTCCCCGCTTCACTAATAAACTAGAAAGGTAGAAAAGATCCTATACTATACTATTAGGGACTCTCTTAAAATAGTAATAATAGGGGATATAAATAGCAGAGTCTAGCACACGACAAGGCTAAGAAGAGGCTAATGCGCTAATTCATCTCAATTAACTACATAGAAATTTACCTCCTAGTAGTAATAATCAGCTAGACCTATACTAAGCCTAAGGAGTAGTATATATAACGTCATCTCTCAGTTAGTATAGAAAAGCTCAAGAATAAGCTAATTCTAGCTATAAGGATTAATACTAATTTAGCTAATAGAAAGCAGCTAATAGGAATCAGTTTTTATAGATACTATCTAAGGGTGTAATAATTCCTGGCAAAGGCTTATAGCTTTAACTAGCGTTAGGGGTTGGCGAATTTGGCTACTAGAAACTAATCCTAATTCTAATAATTAGTCTCTCTATTAAAGTATTTTAATTAAAGAATTAGATTTAAGAACGATATCGTAAGCTACGCACGCTATATTTTTTAATTATATCTATAACTTATAGTAATTACTAGTATACTAATACTTGCTTACTAAAAGGTAGGACTAATAGTTATACTATTAGCTTCAAACTAACTCTCCCTTCCTTAGATTTGTTAAAATTATAGCACTAAGGGCTGCGATAGCTAGCTACTATATAAAGCATACACTCGGAAGTAAATCAACTATTAATATGCCCTATCTACATCTATACGACATAGACGCCGAAATCTTCAAGCACTAGAAGGTCATATTAAAGCACTAGAGAGATATAACCAGGAACTAGAAAATAGTCTCTAAGAAGTAAAAGACTCTCTTCAGCTATTTATAATATACTAGCCCGCTTTAGATATAATGTAGATAAATAATCAAACCTAAGTATAGGTTCCCTATGGATCTAGCTTCTATAATATCGCTTATGACTTAATTAGTTAAATACCTAGGGAGGACTCTTACGAATACGCCTAAGAGTTACTTATAGGTGTAGCAAAATAGCTATTATATGCGCTTTTAATGATTACTATAGTAGCTAGCTTAGATAGTTTAGTCTCTATATAAGCAAAGTCCTAGGTTTTTAATAGAAGTATATATAAAATAAACTAAATATTTATCCTAATTTTCTCCCTTTTTCTAATATTATAAGTTAATAATAGCTTATGCTAGGCGTGATAACTATTTCGGCAGCGTGACTCCCTTTATAAACTTTAATATCCTCCTTTCCTTCTATTTAAAGGTTATAATCCCCGGGCTAACTAAACTATATAGCTTAAGCCCATCCGGTATCCTATAACCCCTCTATAAATCGCTACTCTTACACATTAAGTCCTTCTTAAGATCGAAGAGCTGGCTAAGCCTATGTCTTACCTAATTAACCCTAAAACTGCGATTATTAGCATAATACACTAACGTCTTAAAAGCAGAATAAGATACCTAAACTAATATTAGTTCCTACTATTCAGGATAGCGGCCTAGTTATATTAGAACTACTATAGTAACTAAAAGTTAATAGAAGCAATAATAAGCTTATAGGCCCTACTAAGGTAGTAGGGCCTTAATAAGGAGGAGAAAATAGAGAGCTTCTAGCCTATAGACTAGTGACCTATTATAGGGTTAATTCTAGACTTTCAATAGTAGAATAAATTTAAGCCTTACAGGGTATAACTTTATATTACTATAAAAATTAGAAGCTACTTTTATTTACACTTACTAGATATACTAAGGAGCCCTACCTTCTAATTTATTCACTAAGCTATATAAAGAAAATTAAAAAGTATATTAACTTTAGTAGGATTTATTTCTTATTTTTACTAAAAAGTAAGGATAAGAAAACTAGAAGGGCAAAAAGGCGATAGGATAATATAAAATAATTACAACTACTAGGTTTTAATTATATTATTAAGCTACTACTATTCAAGGTGTAAAAATAATAAGCTCTAATACACTCAATCTTTTAAGATTTATGGCGTTTAGGAGTATTCTTTATGAAAGGGAAATTATAGCTAATTAAAGAGTATGTAGAGGAATATTACAGCAGTCTATAGGAAAAAAACCACTAATAGGGTGATTAATATAGCCCTGCTTTTAAACTTAAGAATAGTAAAGTAATCTGCTTATTATTTTCCTTATACTATAGCCTATTAGTGGATAGTTAAATGATTTTAGCTGGTATACTAATTCAATCGCCTTATCTAGTACATTCTCTAGAAAATACTAGACAGGCTTATTCCTATCTTATTCTAATACTATAGAATAATAACTAAATAGAAAATCTAAGCACTTAAGAAGTATTAGGTAATATTAGAGGACTATATATCTCTTTCTCTATAAATCCAGTAATATAACCTATTCTAAAACATCTTCTATAATAGTGTGATTAAGTTAGAATTAATAATAATAAATTAGTAGCGCGGTAATATCTAGATTTCTACTATTAATTAATATAAGCCTCCTTAGTAACTCTTAGAGGGAGCTTCTTATGTCTTATAGTTCGTCTACGCCTGCATTATCGATAAGGTAGAAAAGAATATCTATAAGGCGCCTTATTATAGTAACTTATAATGATTTTTAGGAGCTATAGACCTTCTTAGTTAAGATAAGAGTAATTATATATAGATAATTTCTCATCGAAATAGCATGTATTATAGGAGCTCCTATATCAAGAAAGTCAACCACTCCTTTCCAGTTATATATAGAACTACTTATCTCTAACAGATATTTATTAATATTAAACCCTAGTTATAAGAGCATTATTATTATTTCTATAGGGCTTAGAGATATAAGTATAAGCTTAATATAACTATAATTAGTATTTCTATTTATATTTACCCTAATTAACTATATTAGTACCTTCGCCAGGTTAGGAAGGCCTTATTTAAGGGAAAACTAAAGTGTACTTAAGCTATTAAATTCCTAATCAAGGTGAGCTCCCTGAAGAGCTAGGATTAATATAGTAGTTTTATATCTGCCTTAAATAGCTAAAAACAGAGGATTTAGGGTATATATTCCTGGTCCATCCGCTAATATACTATTATCGAGTAAGAATTACAAAATTATCTCTCTTCTAAAATTTACGGCTAGGTATATTAGAGAGTAAACTACTAAATAGGCTATAAGACTATAGCGATATTCATAAGATTTCGGATTATAATATTATATAAGAGTAGAGCTAGCGAGAACGGCTAATTGAAGAGTCCCGAGAGCTACAGAGTTATTACTATATAATTTTATAGCATAGTAAACAGTATAAGACCTATATATAATGCGATTATTAATATACAAAATATAATTAAAAATTCCATGAAGTTACTGGCTAGTACAGGCTAAAGAAGATAGCCCTACTAGTAAGCAGTACTTTACGATATAAAATAATACCTCGTTTAAAACTGAAGCGAGTATTATAAATGCTGATACAAATGATAACACTCCTTTAATTTATCTCTAAAATTCTAAGATATATAGATATTTAATCTTTTATCCTAGTAGATTTCTCTCTAGTAACTTATAGATTTATACCTCTAGTTAGCTAAAACCTACCTCTAATATAATATTAAATATAAGCTACTATTTTATAGGTATTAAATATATCTATATAGGCGGATAATACCCCTAATAAGGTACTCCTATTAAAACGCCCTAGTTATCTAAGGTATTCATTAAGCGAGTTATCCTTATTATTCAAGCTATATATTCTATAGCTTTACTAGTTAAGGAGTAAGATATCTTACCTAAAGGTGATATTTTATAATTTATATAGGCTTATATAGATAATAGGTAGCTATTTTTATAGCAAGATATCTAATAACATCTAAGAATTATTAATAGTAAGTCGGAGGTAAATATCAACTATATCATTAGTTATTATTAGATTGCTGCTAGGGAGTATTACTATATAATTAAGTAGAAAGACTATATATACCCTACCTAGAACTTAAAGTAAACATTTCGCGTTTTAACTTATTTCTTATAGAATACCACCTAGAAGCACTCTACTTATAAATACTATATAGTATATATAGTCACCTAACTACCTAATATTAGAAGTATATATATAATATACCTACTATAAGATTTAGTGATCTATAAACTATTCTATCTTATATATAATAATAATAATTATATATAGTAAGAATATAACTACTAAATTTTACTAGTTTAAATAATAAGCTTATAAGTGCTAGTTATAGTATTATTTAGCTATAGGATATATCTTATATTTATTTTCCACTCTAATAACTAGTTTAACTTAGTCTATACTAATCTTTTATAGGTATAACTACTCGCCTTAGTAACTATTCAGGCTAAGCAACAGCTAAGTATTATATTACTATTTATCTATAAGTACTATCCTAGCTATAGCCTTATAATTCTTAAATATAGCTAGTTAAGCTTTAAGTGTTTTTTCTTATTTTCTTTTTTTCTTTTTTTTTCTAATAGCTAGCTAGTTATGAATTTTTGCAATAAACTATCTAAAAACTAGTTAACTATTAAGGCGTCAGTTTAGGTATAGTATCTATATTAATATTTTATCATAGTAGTTCGGCAGTAGTTAACATTTTACTAGCTATATTAATTCTCCTCATAGAGCTTTAGCCCAGCTCCTTTATAATCTACTGCCCCTATATAATATTCGCTGCAATATAGCCTTAGCTATAGCTAGCATTGGATTACAGTGTCACTTATAGCTAAAATAATCGTAGATTTTAGCCACTTTTGAAATATTAATTATATATTTAAGTTTTTACAGGGTCGACTGAAAGGAGTGTCCGCTTTTTTATTATACTAAAAGAAGCCTGTTTTTAGATGAAGTGTAGCTAATGATAGTGTAGATAAAGATAATACATAGTCTAAGCTACTTCTTTTATAGGTCCACTAAGACTTATAGGCCTTTCTTTATTACTTATTAAACAGAGAAAGCGCTACTAGCACTACTAAATCTAGTGGTTTTTGCTGCTATTTTAGCTAGCACTTATAGTATAAGGACACTTAAGGTTTAAGTTAAGTGAAAGGTACTCTATACTTCTTATTAATACCCTAGTAAGCCCCTACTTTAATAAATAGTATATACTAAGTATAGCCTAGGGGCACTAATATCTTTTATCTATTTACCTCTAACTAAAATAGGTATTAAACCTATATCTTATTTCTTATCTCTTTATAACTCTTTAATAGGCTTATCGCTTCCTATAAATATTAATAGTAGTAAGCTACTTTAGCTCTATATATACTAATAATGCCCTATATCTCTCCCTTCTTCCCTTCCTTCTATATATTACTATTTTTATTTCTTAGCTACTAACTACCTTAATTAAATAGTAGCGAACTTAACTATTATACCCTTAATAGTAGCTATAAATAGCCTATATAATTATATAACCTTTCTTTAAAGCTTTACTACTTATAAGGTAGAGAAATAAGCTATAAATAATAAGCTTATACTCTTAGTTAAATAATATACTATTTATTATATATAATTAGGTAAAGTATATTTTATTAAGCCTAAATACTCTATTAAAACTAAAATTAATATAAGTAGGATATTTAATAAATAGTTATAGTATATAGAAATACTCTATTAAATCTACCTTATTAGCTTCTACTTTTCTAATATAACTAATATAGTTACTATACTAATATAAAAATTAGGGACTAGAAGATAACTATCTAGAATCTTAAGCTTAAAATAATATAAGACTTCTTCCTATATATCTATAAAAGATCTAAAATTATATTATAAAGTACTAGTGAGGAGTATATTTATTAGTTTTAGTAGCTATATATAATAGTTACTAGCTAGTATATAGACTAGAATAATACTAAGGAAGTATATAAGGTAAATAGACTCCTTCTTATTATATAGGTATAGCTAGCTACTATTCTATATACTATATAAGCTCTACTAATTAATAACTAGTACTATTACTAAGTCTTAGCTCCTTATTTTAGCTATTAAGCGCCTAATATTAATAATAAGCTAGTCCTTAATATAGATAACCTATATATTATTTTAATATTTAATATTATATATAATATAAGTATTTTCCCTAGTGAGTAGTACTATATCTACCTAGCTACCTATTATTAGCTACTATACTATACTAGTATATAACCTACTAAGCTTATAGATAGTAAGTAGAAGAAACCTAAAGATAGGTCTATTAAAAAGCTCTTTAGGAGCTAGTTTATTTAATTACTCTCTTCTAATATTAATAATATTAATAAAGATAAAAGCCCTCTCCTAAATAAAGACTTAAAACTTAAAAGTCTTCTCTCTTAGGAGACTATAGGGTATAAGTATTTAAAGGCTCTCTACTATAAAGATATTTAGATACTAATTATATAGCACCTAATTATAGGATAGTATATACTTACTATAGTTATTAAGTTTATTTATTATAAAGGGGCTAATAAGAAACCTAAGCTATATATCTTTCCGTCCTTTAGCCTAAATAGTTAAGCTTTATATATATTAATACCTTTATTAGGATAATCTTCTACTTTACCCCTACTAGAAAGATTCTCTTCTATACTATCTCTACTATTATTACCCTTACTCTATATAATAATACCTTTAATATAGTAAGCTTAATAAATATAAAGAGTATCTTTAGGTTAAAGCTACTATAGTTTAAGGAATATACTTTACTTTAATAGAAGGCTTTTAAGCTAAAGACTTCTATATTCTATTAGTACTATAGTGCTATACTCTCTTATATTAATACTATATTATATTTAAAGCTTAAAGATAATATTAGCTAATAAAGTCTTAATTTAGGGTATAAAAGAAGGTAGATACCTAGGTTTACTTAAAGGGGTACTACTAATATAGTTAATAGTATATATTATACTTATTACCTACCTAGGATAAGTAGCTAGAGCTTATAGATAGTACTAATTAGACTTATTATTCTAGGAGATATACTAGATACTATCTATAACTAAATAATATATTATAATTCTTAATTTATAATATTCTACTATACTTATCTTAATAAGATCACTAACTTTAATATCTAGAATATATTCCTTAAGGAAGAGAAGGAGATATAGCTATTCTAGCTATTTATATATATTAGCCTTATATATAACCCTTAAGTGACTTCTAATATAATACCTAAGGAAGTATAAGTAGGTTTAGTACTAGATCTAAATATCTAAAAGCTTAAATAGTAATATACTATACTTAGATAGGGGAACTACTAAATTAAAGGCTATTAGGATAAGAAGAAGATATATAAGCTTATAAATAAAATCTACTTAAAGTATATATAGTATTAAAAGGTAGTTATTAAAGTATACTATAAGTATTACTTCTATTATTAGCCTACTTAAGATATTAAGATATAAGTATAGGGGGAAGAGGAAGAGGAGTATATAGAGCTAGTTATTAATATTATTATACTAATATAGGCTTAGCTAGTAGAGATTCTCTACTACTAGCTAGATAACCTAAATAAAGATTAGATCCTTTAGTATAAGATTAAAGCTATTAATTTAATAGTAGTACTCTATAATAAGAGAGAGATTATTAAATAAGATTATATTTAGCTAAGAGTTAGCCCTAAACTACTTATTAAAGCTAAATCACCTAAGGTATATAGTAAAGTTATACTTAGTCCTAATTTATTCCCCCTTCTCCTAGGTGCTATATAGTATCCTAATTATATTAGTAATAAGTAATTCTCTTATAAAGAGTATACCTTTATATATTACTACCTAACTATTATAAATAACTATTTTAATAACTAATATCTAATTAGATATAAGTAAGCTAAGAAATAGAGGTAAGTAATTAAGTATAAGCACCTAAAGTATAGAGATATTAACTTTAAATATTTAGATTACTTTAGAAGTTATATATAGGAGTAATATAATATTACTTTATAGATATTATTTTAGGTAGAATATAGGTAACTATATAAAGTAAGATACTATTAAATAGTAAAAGCTTATTAATATCTTAGTAGAATTATACTAAGGCTATAGTATACTAATAGAGAAATATAGATAGTAATTAGATTAATTTTATTCTAGAGGTATTTTTAAGCTCTCTAGACTAATAAATATAGGACTTGCTATAAAATAACGTGCTATTATCTAACTATCTTCCTTAGGATTTTATTCCTTATCCTTATATATAGGCTGGATATATATCTAGCTTATAGTTATATATTACTATAACCTTTAATACTAAAAGATTATACTTAACTATAACTACTCTAGTATACTTATAGTAAACCTTTTAAGATTAAATATAGAGCTATAGGAAATATATAAACTTACCTAATAGTAAGTCCTTACTAAGACTAACCTCATAAGTATTACTTTCTATATACTATAGAAGCCTACTTATCTAGATAAAAAGGGTTTTATAGTTAGGATAACTAAAGTTATATTCCCTATTATTTAAAATATAGTAGCTAGACTAATAACACTAGTAGGTAAGATTATTAATAATATTAGTAGTTATACTAAATAAGTATATTCTAGCCTTAAGGTGTAATACTATCTCTAACTCCTTATTAAAGCTTCTTAAGCATCCTAGGCATAGAATAAGTTTTATAGTATATATCCTCTAATACTATATAGTAGTTAATATATAATCTATAAACCCTAGCGTTTATAGGATTATAAATATTTTAGAGATTATTTTTAGTATTAAAAAAACTACTATAGTCCTTATAAGGATTATATATAGCTATATTATATTATTTAAGGCTTTCTAGAGTATTAAAGGACTTATTATAAGGTTTATAAAGCTTATAAGAGTTTTCTTAATACTTCTCTAGTGCTATAGATAATATAAAATTAGGTTTATAAGGATAATATTTATATCTATAATAGTTTAATAATAAGGAGATATACTATTAGAGAGATTTATAGTTTATGAAAGGACGCTTATATTATAGATAATATATCTTCGGATAACTATCTTAATAGTGTTACTTAAGGCTCCCTTCCGTTCTGAACTTACGATTATAAATAGGGTATTCTATAGTGGAGTGATCTAGAGCTTTAAAGGAATAGGAAACGGGTAAAGGTGGACCGTGAACATTAGCTGAGATGTAGGGTTGTTGAAGGGCGGGCTATAAAGGGCCTTAGATCTACGTTCTGCTAGTACACCGATATTGTGTAAACTTAGTATATTAGTCACTTGAGTAGCTGCTCTTCTTTGGCAAAGGCTACTTCAATGGTTATTTCAGGTTCTGTATACGGCATCTATCCTATACTTATGTTGTTTTCTTTTCTTAAGAAGCCGCTAGCTGCACGCGCTTCTAGAGAACAATGCAGAATTGAAGCCTTCGCTTTGTTCCTATTATAAAGTCTGCATCCCCTGCTGCAGCTCCTCGACTCACCGAAGCCCAGCATGAATAGCTCCCTCCCATACTAGATCGAGGGTATTCGAATCAAAATAATATTAATGCCATGTCTTTGCACTGAGCGTGCTGCCTGTAGAACCCGATCGATCTACATGCGGTCTAGAAGGACGACTAAGCCACCGAATCGTACCGGTCCCGAACCCATTGACCATCCCAGTAATGGTGGATATGATCTGCAATAAATTGGCCAAAGAAGCTGGCGCTGTGCGACGCTAGATGTCGCTCGTCCACTGGCGGCAAGCGGGTTGGTGGGTTGGGCATGCGGATCTGTCGCAGTGCTCGGAGAAGCTCTAGTGCGGCTTGCCACATCTTCTGGCTTGGGGGACTGGACTGCCGCTATCGCTTGTGAACTACGAGGTTGAGGCCCTGGGGTCAGGTGTCAACATACCTGTGGACTGCGCCCCTGATGGGGCCGGCGACACCGCTCTACGACCCGGGACAAGGTTCCTCAAACCACTCTCTGGTCGATTTCCTGGAGCCTTGAGTAGACATAGCTTCAAGGACGTTTAGTGGGAAGAGTAGATGTACCGCAATAGTAGTGATGGTGAAGAAAAGTCGACGGTGCTATTCTGCGTGATTTTCTTGTGGGGGCCGCGATTCTCGTTGGGCCTCGAAGCTGAATACTGCGGCTGCCTCGCTTGGCCGCCAATCGCCCTGGCGAGCAGCTGTGGTGGCGACATTGGTGCGGGGTCGAGTGGCATATCTATGGAATCTCTTTTCTGACAGAACGTCGACACGTCAGGAGGCTGGCAAGCCCGGTTGGGCAGCGTCGCTCCGTCGCGAGCAGAGCATGGCTTCTTGATTTGCAAGCGATGGATGCAGCCACTTCCCAAAGAGTCATTGGTAGCTGACACCCCAAGCCACAGGCATCGACTCATGCCCAAGGACCCACTCTGATGCAGTGGGCTTCGCTGGTCCAATTATTGCTTGATAATAATCGCCCGCCTTGTTCCATGAGTGCCTGGTGCTGCATGAGCTGAATGAATGTGCATCTTCGACTCTGCGCTGCACAAGCCTATCAGCGATAATGGGTATCGGGGATATTGCCGTTGGAATTACGATATGGCGGGTCGTTCTCGTTGTTGAGTATCTGCACGCTACGGATGCCACTTGGTGGATTGCCTTGCTTATTTCCACAGCGTAAGTTATGATTCTGAGAGTACATGAGTGATACAAGAACCAACACGGTGATTAGAGTTTTGGAATTAACTATTGGGCTAATATGCTCATGCATCCCAGCCATTAACATCCTTATCCAGGAACGAAAGTATCCTAGGTCACACTACAGCTCAGGCCACAGCACACACAAGCACGCGACTAACTGTAAAGTAAAGGGAACCGAAACATGGCATTCTGAAAGGACTGCAAGCCTTATCAACGAAACAATCCCGCAGTAGTCCGCGACGGCTCCCTCGAAAAAAGAATAAGAGTTGGCCAAGGCGATGAAAAGGGTCTCCTTCAAGCCATACAACTGCGAAACTCAGTATTAACTGATTTTTTGTTTGTTCTTTTCTTTGCTGGCCTGAGGCTAAGTGGAGACCCAAGGCAGCGCGAGTCGTCCCGATTATCGTGTCTTTTTGCCCGATACCCACGTTTTCCCCAGCTCTTGATATTTTTTATGGGTCCTAAAGGGTGTCAGTCTATAATTTTATATTGTGGGAATTGGAAGGCTCTTGACGGAGGCCACACGGCGCAGCCTCGTATTTGTGGACGCGGCATGGGCCGTAGGGCAGGCAGGCTAAATCCAGGAGAGATGAGATGGAGAAAAAAGGAGGAATTTCCATCCTTACCTTTGTTAGGGTGTGGCGTCGATGGGATCTTTACGAGCCTCGAGCTAGATGGTGTGTGCCGTACAGACACCGGGAGTGGTGGAGTAGTCATGCCAATCCGCTTCGCGGACAGCTGCCGTGGAGACTCCAATGCTGCGATCGTCTCGTTCTCGTCGAACTTATTTTTCATTGATATACTTAATACAGAAGGTGACCAGCCAGACTCATCTCTATTCGCCTTTTCTGGTCCCGCCGCGTTGTTATGGTCGGCGGCGTCGGCGTGTTGAATATGTGGTGATGGCAACAATACTGCGACCGATAGGCTTTGCTGCTTTTGTGGGATTCCTTGGTCATAATGGATATTTTTCAGCTTTCCAAGATCCTCCGTACTCCAAGAGCTGTCCCAGATGGGAGTTCTCGTAGTATTAGAAAATGCATCCGTGTCGCCCGAGTGTTGAGTGAGATCAGACCTCCCGTGATGAGACATGCGTAGCCACCACGGGTGAGGCAAATTGCGTCTCTGGTCGCACATCAGCGACGTGATCATGCGGCCGGTCGGTATATTGTGTTCTTCATTCACGCAGCCCTCACTGGAACTATTTTGTTCTTCGGCCGTGAGCGTGTCCTCTGGCTGAACGCTGGAGCGACCTGAATTTCAATGTTCAGATGTAAGCTTGGTACAAGTGAGTTTGATAGCCTACTGTAGCGCCTTTGTCTCGAAGTGACATCCATAATAACAACGATCAAGTCGTCCCTGTACTCTAGCTTGGCGGTTGGGTAACAGAATGATGCCTCTTGGAAACTCTAGAGCATCTGCAAGAAAGCGGCATGTGGAGCAAATCATGCCTGGGGGGGAGACGAGCTCTATGCAAAAAGGAGAGCGCGCCCGGCTCTATATAATTTGTTTACGCTCTCCCAGCCTCTGGGACAATTTGTCCACTTATACAAAATTACACAACATAACTATTGATTAACAAATTAAACCTATCATTCCTATTCCAAGTACCCGCTTAGAATACGTACCACTATTGGTTTGGAATGTTGTCAAATTCCGCTGATACCCTCGAAGTGCTCTTTCCTTCGGTAGGTATGCGGCTGCCCGTCTGGGGGGTAGGCTCAAAGAAAACTCGAAAGCCACCGAAGAGCTAATGGAGAGTGTATGTAACTGTAATGTCATTATGAGGCCGGTCAATATCGATACCTTCGACAGGTGTACAAGGCCGCTATCAAACATGTTGAGGATTGTGAGCGCTGCTTGATTAGAAGGATTCTTAGTATATTAGCAATGGATAAATACCGTCAGTATTCCTAGAATAGCGATCACATATTGTCCGGGCAGTCAGTCGCTAAGATCGATGCGGAGTGGTAGTTTTTTGCTTCTAGTTGGGGAATCGCCGCTGAGGAATGGACGCCCTGTTCGCTGACCGATCTGAACTTTCTTGCCACGCTACTCTCGACGTTGCCTGTGTCACCTTCGTCTCTGCGCACCTCATGTACTGGTGGCCATTCCCCAGGTCCCCAAAACGGCAGCAGATCCAAACCTCATAGAGAAGAGAATTCAGGCCGGACTCAGCGAAGCTCGGCTAGTCATGTTTTCACTCAAGAGGAGGATGATCTTATTATGGCATTAAAGGAAACAGAGTGCCTTCCTTGGCCAGAAACTCATAAACGATTTAGTAACGAATTTCCGCAAAGACGATCTCAGGCAAGCCTTCAGGTTCGTTACTCGACAAAACTGAAGACGGGCAGCAAACGAGCTACAAGGACATCCAGTAGGAGTTAACACTATATTTATACATAAAATACATCTCATATCAACAATCCAAGCACTTATTAGGTGTTCTTCGAATGAATACGTAGTAATTTTGATATGGAAACTCACGCTAGAGCTGATAAGCTTGCATTTGCGGGCTCAAGAGTTCGCAAATCGCTGTAACATCTGCAGTAGCCTTGGTAAGTTTGACTATGACACCATAGTTGGATCCAGGTGTGGGCTTCGACGCGTATTAAAACAACAAAGTATAAGGTAGATGGCCAAAGTATAGTCAGGTGATTGTGCGAAACTCTAGGCACTTTTGGGCAGATCACAAGGTCTGCTGTAGATTTTTATTTGAAGCAACAATATGCTTGAATTTATGGCTTGGGGGCTCTATTGGGTGATCTAGACGAAAAGCGGGGAAGCGTATACAGCTTGGCTTAGCCACTGGTCCTATGAGATCCTTCTCTCGGGCGTAATAAATCATAATAATAAGAACATGGCATTATGTAATGATGGATGGACCCTGAACACTTATTATCCCCGCTCTCCATCCTGACGATGCCGCTAAGTCTTCCACCTTAACCAAACACCGCCATACATTTCCTAGGCCCCTTCTGCAGCAAAGCGTTTCTATCATTAAGTCAACCACTTCTCTATTCAACCTTCAAGACTTAGCTACACCAGCGATAAATAATAACATTCATCTATTTTTCTTTTTTTGGTAAAAAAAGGGTCTTCAATCCAACGATACCAGGTAGGTTAATGGCGGAAAGGGACAAGCAGGATGCTGAAGTCTCAGGCAAGCGGCACATATTACTCTGACACAGCTGCATTCTAGTCCTAACTATAAGCACAGAAAGAGACAACAGGGTCATAATGATAGGAGTAATCAAATATTTATAAGTAGAATGTCTTAAACACAGCTCCTCGCTTGCAAGACAACATAGTCCGACCTAAGACTCGAATAGTCTAGATAATGAATCCTAAGACACTAGCAGCTAGTTAATAGCCTAGCTATCACCTGAGGATTTAGGTAAAGCCCCCCCCCCCCCCCACCTAAAAGAGAAAACAAAGCTAAGACTCGCGTAATTAAGGTGAATTAGTAGGTATATTAAGAGATAACTCTATAATATATATGCTTTTTTATTAGAGTTTCTCATATATAGGATTTACCAAATAGTTATAAAAATATAGATCTTTAATAGTTCGCCCTAACTATTTTAGGAGGATTAATAGCAATATTTACAATCACAACCTCTATAACACACTTAGTATCTCTGTGAATGCAGGCTAATACAGATAACGATATATAATACATCGGATAAGAGGCGATATTACCATTCTGTTTGCTGCTCTACACCTTGGCTGTCGCTCACACAGTGCATCATATTGCTGGCCTGCATTGATTGGCCATGGTCCAAAGGCATAACTAACTCCAGGGCACAGCCAGCTAGCCATACCACAAGGAGTGAAACCCACCCTTGCCCTAACCTCCTAGTCCTACCCCCCAATGATCACTCCCCCCCAATTCTCGACCCGCCTACCACACTCCATCTATTACTTCTATTAATCTACTTTCTCTCATCCTCCCCGCTATAATCTCCATCTATTTATCTCTTCCTCGACCTATTTTTATATTATATCTCTATCGCTAACCATATCCATCCTAGACCAGAATCTCGCCTCTAGGACTACTTCACCTTCATCGAGTTCTAACTTAAAGAATAGCTTCGCTATTATCTCGCCTTTCTATATATAAGCCTATTTAGTGGGCTTTTGCTACTATAGCGCCTACACCAGGATTTCTTACACTAGTAGTTCCCCCTAACCTAAGAAGAGAAAGGGCCGATACTTCCTATAAGCGCACTCTCTATTACTACCTAATAATTTCAACCCTATAAATTCCCCAGACTCTTTACCGAGAATTGCCTCTTGATACTGCTTATACCGCTATATTCTGGGGAAAGTAAAGTTGGCTGTCGACCGTTATTAGGCACGCGAACCTATCCATCAATAACCCCAGTTCTCCCCTGCCCGGGTCTGCTCTGGCCCCTTTCCTCTTTGACCTTAGAAAACCTTATCTTTAGGCCTATAACCCTTGTCTCGCGAACTACATCACATTATACTGATTCTACTTACCACATAGTCTATACTACTAAAAAAGCAATACCTAATATTGAATCTCGCTTAGTTAGTAATATCGCAGTCTATATATTAAGTCTTATTTAATAGCTAGAGGGATAAAACGCGCTATAATAACGTAGGCTATAAAGTATACCTATAATACTTACTATTATCGCAAGGTAAAGTATAATAGTATTAACCTATACTATAACTATAGTTAAGCTTAGCTCTTATATACCTATAATATAATCCCCTAGAAGAAGGGACCTAAGGGTACCTACGTAAATATTATTAGTAAACTAAAAGAGATATAATAATAAATAAGTCTATTAGCAAAGGTCTAAAACTAGATTAATAGAGGCCCTTATATACTATTAAACCCCAGCTTAGCCCTAACTCTAGGATTACTAATAAGCGAACTTATTAAGGAGTATATCACCTTCTTCTTTAATAACCTATACCCCTAGCTATTAATCCTTAACTATAACTCTATAGAATAGCAGGTACTTTACATAGAGTAGAACTATAGCGCCTACTACCTATTAACTTCACTTTATACCTTCATTATACTCTAGCCTAGTATAAATATACCTACTAGTAATCCTTATAACCTTAATTTATTCCCTAGAGTAATAATCGTTTTAAGCTAGTTTCTTATTAAAGAAGCTATTAAAGTACATAAAGGCTATAAATATCTTAACTCTATTAGCCTAAACGTCTTAGCTACTAACTTCTTCCTCTTCACATATTACTATAGACTTAAATCATATAATCATACTTAATATTACCTTCGTGAGGCTTCTACTATAATCCACCTAACTAGTATATACTAGGAGGATCACTATATAAAGCTTAAGTCTATAGAAGCTTTATATTATCACCGACTATTCTAGCTAATCTACACCACCAAGAGGTAAGAGCTATCTCCACTAGTTTCTAAATAGAAACTAACTAATAAATTATTCTAGGGCTTATATACTCTAGCGTAGCTATCCTCTAACCCTATAGGCGACTATTAATCTACCTATAGTAAATAATAATATAACTAACCCCCTTACTTATTAGCTTAATAGCTTTATTATTCTAAGTAATCTCTTTAAGCCCTTAGACGATACCTTTAATAATATATAAAGCAAGGCTTATTATAACCTATCGCTATAATACCTCGCCAGTTTATAGAAGCAGCTTACCAATCTTATATAGTCCTATCTATATCAGGATGCTAACTTCACTAATACCTATATAAACTAGCAATAGCTAAAGAGCACTATCTAGCAACTTATAAGCAGTACCATCAGCAGTAGGAACAATAATTCCATATCCTATCAGTATTCTAGTAATATATCTCAGGATCTACTAATAAGCATAGCCTCTTAATTCCCTAACTAAGGCATAGAGCTATTAAACTTAGGACTAGTATATAGCCCGCGCTAATCACCTAAATCTTTTATAATATAACGTTTACTAACTATTACCTAGATTAAGGAGCTATTAGAAATAACACACTCTACTATTAAGTTTCTCTTACTTTAGCCTACTTTATATAACCCCTTCGCTATTAGTCCTCATAAGCATATAAACTAGCTCCTAAGTGTTATTACTATATCGCGTAATAGCGACTATTATTTCCTTCCCGTTCTTTTAAATAAGGCACATGAAATTCTACTCTAACTTATTAGCCTAATGCTTTAGAACCCTCCTAAGAACCTAAATATAGCTAACATTAATATTTTCGATAGTTTTAGTAATGCCAGGATAGCTCAACCTCCATAGCTCCAGCTCGCTATAAATAGTAATTATAATTATAAGTTCCCCGTTAAGGAATATAACAAGAAGTACGCGATAGACT